TTCATTCAACCGCATCTCCCGAACCGTTCATTACATTGTCATGAAATCTGGAATGGCTTGGTTTTATTCTCGCATGCACCTGAGCTGAGAATTCCCGGTACCTGCCTTGGCTGGACACTGACCTATGGCCGCACCCTTTGACCTCGCTTGCATAACTCTGTGGCGAACATAAGGCAAATGTTGATTTGTTAATCGTTCTCAACTTGGTGCGCATCAGATGTGCTCACGTAAGGTTTTGAAGATGTGAAGTGGTCATGTATGGAGGAGATAAATTACCGTCACCTTTCCCCAAGACCATTTGAGGTCATGGCCAGAGTAAGTGAGATCTTCTAAGCAGAGAAGACCTAAGATATAATCAAACTTGCCATAAGATGCTAACATAGCATCTAAAAGGATCTAAATGACGTCAAGTTAGTCCCACCAAAGCGGCTCTGGTGTGAATGATGATATCTGGGTCATTAAGATTCGGCTCATTGCAAGTAATTCTAAAGTTTTCATTTGCGTCTTCCACAAACACCAAATAATGATTGATTGACTTTTCACAATGTGAAAATGCCAAAAAGTGCATGTGGATCTTAAGAGAAAAGTTATTCTGAGTTAACTTCATGTGAAGTCGTAAAATGAACTAAGTTACCAAAAACCCTAAAATCGACATTCAGTACCACTTGTCGTAAACAGTAGAATGTTTTGACCTGCATCAGCTTGCCTCCGCTTCGAGTCACGTTGAACGACAAAATACCTGGATTTGGGCCGTTTGAGCGGATCTGACCGATCACCGATGTCCAGAGGCACCGTTAGCGATGGGGAGAACAGCACCGATAGCATGTCTAGTGAGAACTGGTGTATACGGGAACCGGAAGAGGCACAACACCATGACCAGTGTAACAGAGGTGAGTCACGATTTATGGGCGCTGCACGACCTTCAGCAGTCGGTGCGCGCTAAAACCCCAAATCATCATCACTAGCCACGAGCAGGCTGTCGTCCTGTTTTTTTTTTTGTGCCTGAAAATCGGGTAAGGAATTGGCAAAGGAGTAAATAACCTGTCCCATCAAGCCCCGCGCATGCTGATTTACACATCGTGGTGTCTAGATTGCCACAGCATGTGCCAATGTCATATTGACGGAGCGTTAGTCTACCGATTATACCGAGTACCGAGTGCCAGCGCGCATGGAAGGAAAAACCAAATACGTTTAGTCATTGATCCACGACGAGCAAAAACTGTTCACTAAAAGGAAATTTTCACGCAACAGATCTGGACGAGTGAATCCTAAAATAATCCCAATTTTTCACTTCGTCCTTGACCGTAAAGTAATAAACTGAAGCATTCACAAACGAGGCGCCACTCCAGCGCATCCGCTTCCCATAGAACCCGTGTTTGGACCCATTTTCCAAAATCATTACAACGCCAAGACCAAGCTCCCATGAAAGATGAATGAAAAATGAAATAGTTGAATAAGTCGCAGCTTTTGCATGCCTCTAACTAGTTAGCAATTTCGCTGTCCGACCAAGCTCTCAAACAGGGAGAACGCCGTTATTTCCGCCTCACTAAGCTATGTGCGCAGTGAAATCAATCTATGCTGCACATTCGCCATCAACCTGACGAACTTTCGATCTGCGGAATGATATTTGGTCTCTTGGCAGACCGGTAGCATATGGAAAACCGACACACACAGCTGGTCAGCATCATACGGTTTCCGCACCAAATAATTTACAAAGGTTAACCACCCATCTGATAAGGTCGGAGAACTAATGAAACAATTCACTTTCGACACGCGAGCCACTTAATATCCGTCTGAGATTTGTACAGATAGCACTTGACGCTTGAAGCGAATTACCTCTGGCGCGGGCTCACGTGACCTGTTCCGGAGTGCCGGCGGCGGTCTCACAGCCGGTATTCCGCGCTTGGCTCGGCTGTAGCTGGTTTCCGTCACGCCAATGTCACGTTGCCTTCCAGCCCGGGCTATTAGCGTGTCCCCTTCGCAGTCGCTACTGACACATGATCTCACCTAAAATTACGCCGCCTATAAATACCGGCGGACGGGGTGGCACGAGATGCGAGTCTGAGTGCGCCGGTCATGCGCGTACTCGACCGCCGGCGGGTTCTGTTCAGCTCTCATGGCGAGCGCGACCAGGGTTTGGATGGTGGGGGAGGGGAGCTTTTCTAGCATTGAAGAGAAGGATAGGTACAGAAGAGCAAGAAGTTTCACAGGTTTTTTAGGCGCGTAAAAGTTTATTTCAATCATTCAGACTACCGTGAAGATGGACGTTGCAATCAACAGCACCCGTCTGAGATGTCTGTCGTTTTTTTTAATTCATGATCGCCTTTTTAGTACTGAGTCACATCTATCCTCTGTCTATTAGACAAAGCTTCGCCAGTTGTGCGTGCTGCAGCGACAGCAGCGTTTTGGCTGCTCAGCTCTTGACCGCTGAAGGAGAATACAAATCAAGAAGAGATCGCTTCCATACCGATGAGAAAGCAATCCCAGCTCTTTACGTTGCAATGTATTCAACACACACACACACACACACACACACACACACACACACCACACACACACACACACACACACACACACACACACACACACACACACCACACACACACACACACACACACCCACACACACACACACACACACACACACACACACACACACACACACACACACACACACACACACACACACACACACACACACACACACACACACACACACACACACACACACACACACACACACACACACACACACACACACACACACACACACACACACACACACACACACACACACACACACACACACACACACACACACACACACACACACACACACACACACACACACACACACACACACACACACACACACACACACACACACACACACACACACACACACACACACACACACACACACACACACACACACACACACACACACACACACACACACACACACACACACACACACACACACACACACACACACACACACACACACACACACACACACACACACACACACACACACACACACACACACACACACACACACACACACACACACACACACACACACACACCACACACACACACACACACACACACACACACACACACACACACACACACACACACACACACACACACACACACACACACACACACACACACACACACACACACACACACACACACACACACACACACACACACACACACACACACACACACACACACACACACACACACACACACACACACATCACACACAACACACACACACACACACACACACACCACACACACACACACACACACACACACACCACCCACACACACACACACACACACACACACACACACACACACACACACACACACACACACACACACACATATATTATATATGTATATATATATATATATATACGTATGTCAAGAAATATATATATGTATACGTATATGTCAAGAAATATATATATATATATATATATATATATGTATACGTATATGTCAAGTAATATATATATATATATATATATATATATATATATATATATATATATATATACATATATATATATATATGTATATTTAAACTTATGCATGCATAATAATATTGAGTACACATAACAAAGAATAATGCATACACAGATCGGAGTGTTATTGCAGGAAGCTGGTAAGTGGTGTATCAACCAAGTTCAGATGTCTGCGGGTGGTCACAACAGGTCATGACCGATTTAAACCTTGTCACAATTTTGGTCAGAAATAATGTACAATGGTTTTTAAGAACACCAGCTTCCGGCAACTTATGGAGGACTTACGCAAGGCATATGATTTTTTTGTCGTTGGAAGGTGCAATCTAAGACAGCGCTGGAATTCCTGTCCGAGTGATGGCCATATGTTCACCAGACATTCCCCTATCATTTTAGTTCAGTCTGAGCTCTCTGGGACGCCTTTGTGGAGAGCTGAGGGGAGGTCACCACTCACAAGCGTGATAATGCTAGCTTTATACGACGCTTTGTCAGAACGTCCAAGTCGTCCGAAGAGGTTGTCGTGGCTGAAGTGATGCGTGGCGTAATTGTAACATTGCCACTACTTACTTCACGTAACAAAACACTTGCCGCTGCTGCGGTCGCATACACCATTCACGTGCTAATCAGGAACACCTACCTCGCCACAGGCGATGCTGATGCGGCTGAGAGCGCGGGTCACTTCAAGCGAGACTGGTGTCACGTTACATACGTGCTAATAGTCGTCGAATCACTGGGCACGATACTCATTGGCGGTGTGACTCGTCCAGGTCGTTGGTGACACCATGGCCTTTTCATGGCTACGTAGCCGTTTAACAACGTAGCTCACAAGCATGTTCTATAACGCAATAATGCAATTATAAACATAATGCTCTAACTTTAAAAAATTATAGAAAACTACTGCAGAAACGGAGCCGGTGCGCGCGCGCCCACACACACACACACACACACACACACACACACACACACACACACACACACACACACACACACACACACACACACACACACACACACACATACGTCCATTCACAAGCGTTACAGCTGTCATGTGAGGGTTGCGGCGGCAGTATCTGGGTTTTGGTGTTGCATCTGGTTATTGAGAACAAAGCTTGTTTTCGCACGTCATTGCATACATGAAGCTAGCTTATTGCAGCTGAGATTGATGGCATTCATACCGACCTACAGGTAATCATGTAACAGCCAAAAATGAATATGCCCCATACCATGTTTCCATACCGTGTATTGATCAGTCCTGCGGTGACCCGAAGCTAGAATTAAGTCCATGTTTCTCTCGTATCTGGATTTAAGGAAAACTAAACCTCTTGTGGCGAAAATTGGCATAAGCAGCTAAAGTCCGCCCACTAGTGACGGCTAGATGGCACATGCTCATGCCCTGCTTCGGAGACCGGTTCAGCGCCAGCAATGTAGCGGCTAGTATTGGTGGCAATGCTCTCACCAGCTTCCTCGCAGGTCGGTGTAGGCAGCCACGCTGAACCCGAACATGGTGCGCTCCTGGCCGCGGTACACCACCCAGCCCTCCATGTCCACGTTGTAGGCGCGCACACAGAGCGCCAGGCCGAGAAGCCGGCACGCCGCCAGGACCGCCGCCATCGGGCCTGACCTGGCCCGACCCGATCGCCCTCAGGGCAGCACCGGACCCCCGCGTACACGCCGACGCACCAGCCAACGCCGCTCCTCCCTCAGCGCCCTCCCGGCACGCACTGTTTACACAGTGGGTGAGACGTCTGCACGTGGTCCTCAGACAGGCAGCGCATGGAGTTACTTCAGAGCTGCTGCCATCTATAGTTGGCTTCCTCGGAGCTGCTGCCCTCTCTGTTCCTCTAGAGACACTTTTGTTAACGTGTAAAGTGCTGCTTCTTTAAAACAGTAAAAATATTGTGGTAGGCCAGAATGTAATACATGTTTTGATCATACATCCATATATATATATATATATATATATATATATATATATATATATATATATATATATATATATGTTGTATTTAGCTATTTTATACATATGTCTATATATGAATATATTAAAAGTGATTTATTATTATGATTGTCATGTATATTTGACTTTGACAAACAAAGCTCACTCAAAGTTACGTATTTTGCAACAAACTCGTCCCATTTGTAATCCATGCACGCAGTCGCACTCTTTCAGTTAAATACGACTTGCTCGAGTACGACAAATTTCAACGACGAAATAATGTGCATGCCTATTCTCATCAACATACCGGAGAATTATCTTCAAAAAAATTATCATTCGTTAATGATCACCCACATCTGCCTGATATTTTGTTCAGCTTTTTAAGACGTAAGGGAGGAAGGGGTATCACTGACCACCTTCCTTCCGCCTCACAACCTGATGGCATTTGAGGTGCGGGTGTCAGGAAGGTGATTCGCTTGCAGCCTCGTATCCATTTTCTTAATATTTTCTTCAAGAGTGGTCAAGAGCGGGTAAAAATTGGTTGCATTTTCGAGCAGTTGGGAAAAAGATGTCATGCTGTGGGGAAGCACCGACCGCGGGGTTACAGCGCCCTTTGTTTCTCTGTGCAGTCCGTAGGAGTGTAGCAATGGTAACGGTCGCCTAACTGACACGTTTAGAATCACCAAATTTCCAGGAAGAGTAGCCTGTGCATGTTACATCGTGTAAAAATTGCACAGATGACTCTACGTCATGGCCGTCTGAGTCGAAATGGGTGAAATGCCTCGAAACGCACTATTTTCCAGGTATGCTCTTTTTTCTCCAGGTTCAAAATCTGAAATTTCTGGTGATATCAGAGTTAGTACTGTAATATTTGATGTGAATATTCTGAGAGTTTAAGTACACTAAAGTTGTCACACCTCCGGAGCACGCTCACCTCAAACAACTGTTCCACGGCTAATCAACAACAATTTATCCTATCCTTCACACGCCGAAGACTTCTGATTTATTTCTCCTTCATCTTGCATGTCATCGTAGCGTGAACAAACCCTGTGCTGTATGTTTCATGTGGCTAACGATTGCATCCGCTAGAAAGAAGCCGCACCTCATCCTTCCCGGTCACACCTTCTGAGCAGTGCATACAGATGTCATCTGCACCGAGAACGTTTTCCAGTGGCCTTTCTTCCCGCTCTTTCTTTCTCACTCCTCTTTTGCTTTGTTCTATTTTTACAAGGTGTCGAGCGCTTTTCGCTTGGGCCTTCTCTTCCCGTTGTCTTTTTCCATGGAAGCTGGTCATCACGAGGGATGTACCTCTCCGTTTCCGACCACTTTTATCTTTTTGGGGCGCGAGAACTGTTGGAAGAGGGATTATGCCATCTGTTGAACCCTTGGATGACGGTGTAGCCGGGGTGCCGTGCTGTGCCGGTGCCACCGAGGTGCCGTGCTGCGGCTACACCACCAAAAATCGAAGCAATGAAAGGAAAATGGAAGCATAGAAAGGTAATACAAACTTCGTGTCGCTCCACTCTGGAGCTTTAGCCCTGGAAACGTTAAGATGAATGACTTTGTAACCCCCAGCTGAAATAAAAACCATCCCACCAAAAGTGTTAAACAGACAAATTTTTCACACATATAATGATACTGTATTAAAACAGAACTATAAAATGAAATTTACTACAGTTTTCCTTTCACTGGTCACTCTAGCACGGCGATAGAAACAAAAATATTATGGAATAACGCCTTCATGCAAGTCACTTAGCTACAAACTGTTGCAAGATGCACAATTAACAGACAAGGTAGGCAACATTACAGGACCGTATCTATTTTCGCCTTAAAGGCCATGCAAAAATCCAACGGTGCAAGTGGCGATGATACGCGATGGCATTAACGAAGGCGTACGAAAACAGTAGTCGTACCTAGGATATTAAGAATCGTATCGTAACGCGTGGATCACGATTCAATGTCAGTTTTTACGTTTCCCATCAAAACCGTCTCATATCCATAGGTTGCAAGCATGTGATATTGAATGTACTCGGGGAGTATGGAAGAAAATTGCCGAACGGTGTTTTGGAGTCCTAGTAGCGCCGTAATCGTATTTTAGCACCGCAATGCAATGCTACTGATGTGAGGGAACATCATTACGATAAAAATGAAAACAAAGCCATTTGTGGCAATAGATACGAAGAATATATTTTCTCCCACAAAAAAGATTTGGTAGGATGAGGGGCGCATACCCAGCCTCCTCCCTCTCCCCCCCCCCTTTCACCCCGTTTCGCCGCCAATGGCTGCAGCACAACTAGTTAGTAGGCCAGGATTTGATGGACACTTTATTGTCAATAATTTATCATTTATATTTCCATCTACTCAATCCTTTGTATCGTCCAAAGTCCATGGACAACGCGACCTGGGGTTGCCCCGCCCATGGTGGGGTAGCCCCGCGAAAACTACAGCAGAAAAGCTCAGATGGCGTTAGTACCGACCCGCCGGGTACAGTCTGTACCGCACAAACCCGGCGCAAATACAAACCCGGCGCAAACACCCACGAACCTCAGAGAAGGGGTCGTTTGGCATGAATCAACACTGCTTCGTCCACTTCCGTGAGCGAGAAGTGTTCCAATTTCAATATCACTTCATGCAAAAGTAAAGAATGCTATGTTTTAGCTCCACCATCCGATTAAATCACAACGTCCCGGTACCCCCTTTTTTCCTCTTTTTTTCCTGCTATTGGTTTGGGCGGTGTTTCCCAAAGGGGGGTGCTACTACTCCCTCCCCCAAATACATGTTTCAAATTATATAAATGGTCGTAGATAACGTCGTCTTTTTAGCTTCTTCTGTGTACCTTATGTTTGTGTTGCAACGATGTATTTCTGAACCAGCCCTAACGCGTCAAACCAAATGAAGTTAAAGTCAAATGGATTAAAACATGCAATATACAGGTCAATCTGACTGTTAGCTAATTGTGCTCTATTGTTGGAGCACTTGGTGCTGAATAACTGCGAACAAAAAATTTTAGTTCACATATTTGTATTGTCCACGAACCCAATGCCCCCGATGAAGTGAGAGTATTCGCGCGACGTTTCTACTGCTAAATACATGTCTGGGTGCCTTTAAAATAGGCGGCGCAAAAAAGGCTGCAAAATTTCGTGTGCGCCAAGTTTAGAAACAGGAAGCTTTGGACTCTTCAAAAGGGCACGGCCAGGAACTGCAAGGAATTGTCTTGTCCAAACATTGCTACCATGACAACCATGAAAAACAGCTTACGGGACTACCACTATACGACATATTACCAACAAGACAAAATCCTCCCCCCCCCCCCCCTCCCCTCCCACTCTTAGTGCAAAGGAACCTCAGTACTAGCGTTAACGCTTCACAAGGCGAAAATGAAACCTACTTTCAGACAGAAGAAAACAGACGTACAGAAACTACATGCTACATGCGCCAATTAAAACTGCTGCTTTGTTGTAAATATCTCAAGCGTCCTCCCATAACTCAATTTGGTTAGAGCGTCTGCCTTCCGATTTACACAACGGTGATGGCGTGGGTTCCACATAGCTGTGGCAACGTGGGTTCGAGTCGCTTTAGGTGCTCACTTTTTTATCTTGACAGCTACGACCTGCGGCTGGTGGAAACGACGGCGCAGATCAGGTGACATCAGAGGGTTGGGCAGGCCGTGCCGAGCATTGCGGTGCACCGAACTTTTGCCAACAAAATCTGCCGTTGACCTGAACTTTAACGATTCGATGGTGGGGGTCTGGTGGGGGGTGCCGGGTCTGATCCCCGAAATCCATTCATTCAAAGGCTTCAGGCGTACAGATTATTTTTCTAATAAGCCTATGTTCTGCAGAAATACTTCCAAAACGGTAATTGATATAACTGCGCTGTGTACGAATTTATCTTAATCATGCAATCTTTTGTTTGGATCATGATTATTGAGTTCAGTAAAACAATGACAACTTGATGAACTTTAGGACTATCCTCTACCGACGCACCGCAAACGGCAGGTGTACTATATGAAGCCTCACACGCGGTCAAGAGGGAACATAAACGCTGAATTTGCTGTGCTGTCCGTAGCAACTAACAATGCATATGGATATATATATATATATATATATATATATATATTTCCAACAAATTATAATGAGATTTGTCCAGGTCAACTTAAAATTAGTCGTATATATATATATATATATATATATATATATATATATATATACATGCTCGACAACTTATGTTCAGATTTGTCCAGATCAGCTACAAAATTAATTCTCAAAGGCCGCTTACAAAACGGTGTGGACTGTAATAGAGACGTCATTAACAGTAGCCTGGCTTACCGCAGAATCGCCTTTTCACTCGTTTGAGCCATTTGGTAAGCCACTCCGAGAACAACTCCTACTGAGTGTCTTTGGCCGAAGAATAGTTCGCTCCAACTGCTGTCAGATCTGATTGAAAGCAAGCATGCCGGGTCGAATGCTGCGATAATGACGCTGCCTAATAGCCCGCAATAGCTCCTTGGACAGTCGCTGCACGTACCTTGGACAGTCACTCACAGCTTCAAACAATTTATAGAAGCATTGCAACTTTAAAGCATTTCAACCATATGGCCAGTTTTTGCGTAAGCAGTGCATGTGCTTCCTTGCCCTGATTAAAAACCCAGACGACTTAGTATTTTAGTTGGCATCCATCCCATAAGGCTTAATGCGTTACATGCAGCCATCTGCAATTGGAGAAACGATCCCTTTTCCGTTCACATGACCTATGCGGTACATCTTATGCTTATATTACCATCAACAAACAAACCTAAATTGGTTAACAAATGTTTTTTTATAAGCGTGTTCCAAACGACGCATGTGCGTGCGTAGCGCGAGAAGATTATTTCTTAAGAAGCCATAGTAATTTTGCACCAGCAAAGCCACGGTAGTACAAAACGCAATTATTGAGTATTGCAGAGGGTTATATATGTCTTGCCGTTTCTGGTGGTTCACATGTCTTTCTTCCCTTGACTCGTAACGATGTCGATGACTCCCACCTCCATCTCATGAGAGCCCCTGTACAAATACAACGCTCTCTGTTCAGGTTAAACAAGGACGTGCCTCTGTCAGTTAGTGTTTATTTTGCACCTTCTGCCATCTCGGTTTCCGTAGCTTGGGCAGCTCGTAGCTCGGGTAGCTCGTAGCTCGGGTAGGCATCTTCGTAGGCACTGCAGATGCCCACATGTGATCTGGAGTCTGTGAGTCATTGTTATCATGTCAGTCAGCACTCTCCAGCAGATCGTCAAAAGAATCGCCTTTGGTACACTGCTTTGGTGACACAACATGCCTCATGCGCAGCCGATATGTATACCGATCGACATCGTGGAAGGCAGTTCGCCCCACCCCAAAATTATTGGCAGACGCCAAACTTGTTGCGGTATAAGGGGGCACATGCAATTCACTTCACTCAGAAAAGCAGTCATATTAGTCTGGTTACCGTGTGGTTGTACATTCGTTTGCCGTAGTACCTGGCTTATACTTATACCGTGGCTTACATTTTTTGCAAATTTTCAACAGTAAAAGGGTTCTCAATAAGCTGGATCTCATGTCGTTGGTGTGCAGAAAGACAATGGTCGCCAATGGTAGTCTCAGCAAATTACAAAAACAGTTATTTTTTTCTTCTAGGACGCGCTCGTTAAATCATAGCTGAATGTGTCTTTTTCAGTCGTCACTATACGATACATTTTCACCCCTACCCTCACATATCAAACATGTTATACCATGCAGAGAACCAGACGTCAGATATATACCTTTAAAACCGACATGCACGCATAACAAACTCGCTTACCGGATGGACACACAGGTTGTGAGAAAGACGACCGAACTAAATTGTGTTTCATAGTAGGTCGGTTTTGCCATGCTATACGAACACTAAGATCACAACTTTTCACAATCGACTTTATCTTTACACACAAAGCTTCATCCAGATACAGTAACGTACGATAGTCGTCCATGTCTTGATCTCGTTGGCCTTGATGGTGTTTCTGCTTATGATGACGTTGATGTTTTCGTTGATATTAAAATATTTTCACTGCTGTTATTTTTCTCGGCGTTGTTTATCCAATGGAAGTTGTTGTGCGGCTTCGCGATGAATGCGACGTACAAGCTGTTTGGAGTAGCCGTTGCTTCGGACAGGTTTCGCATTTTTACATGACCGGCTTGTTGCAACGGTATTTGAATACATTTTCATCGCACGGCATTTTCATTTTGTCGCCACAGGATGGGCTGATGTGTTACGGATCATGATTCCGGAATGGTTCGGCTTAATGAAGAGTCGTGTTGAAAATTTGAAGTTTGGATCGACCGCACGGCCGTCCCCAGGAACGCAAGCTGCCTGGACCCAGGGGCAATACAACACCGGGTACTCCAAAGTTTTGACTAGTAGGTATCGACACATACTAAAGTATATCAGAATCGGTATTAACGCCAGATTTAGGATGTTGTACCAAAAGTTGGCAGTGCTGTGCTACCGGCATCTTTGGTTTGTTTGTGGCGATGAAGTGCAATCACATTTCTCAGTCGCAAAACACTTGAATTGTGGTGCGTTATGGGGGGTGGTGGTTGGGAGATGATATCGTGTTCATGTAATTTCAGATGCCTCTGGGCTAATCAGATGTATGTTGTTCTCTGCCAAGTCATATTATGTCTCAGTTTACATATAATGACTCATTTAAACATTCTGCAGCAAAACTGATAATGTAATGATTCAGTTACTGCATAATTTGCCAGTTATGAACGCTGTGGCCTAGGCTACCGGCTGTTGAATGCTTGTGGAATGCTGCATGCAAAGTGATTGGCCAAGGCATGCTCAGGTACATTTACGTTGGAGCTAAGGGTCTTGTTATTTTTTAATACATGAATATTGAGATTGTTGTCTGATTGGCATTCGAATATTCCACATAAGCATTGATAGCCTTTGTCCACAGTGGCATTACCACCCATGAAATGGGCCAACCAGTAATTATGTTAGTTCGGCACAGCTGTGTGATTGCATTAGATGTGTCTATTGAGACATGAAAGGCACTATAATGTAATGGAAATGTTTGGTGTGCTGCAATGTTGTGCAGATATGTGGTATGCCATTTCACCAAAGGAATTATCTGCCTGCACTGTTTAGGAAAGGTCATGTTATGTCAAAAATTGTCTGAGTTTTCTGGCATAATTTGACATATGCAAAATCATAAGTTATGTCTTTTCCAGATCAGAAAAATCAATGTGTGTGGCATATTGGTGGGCTGTGCTGAGGGCAACCCCACCTCACCTCCACCTACTGTGTGTTTTTCATTGTGTCTGGGCACCTCATTTTGGTTTAAGGCTATTTAAAGTTGTAGTTTTGTGTCTTTCCTTCAAAAGTCCAGCCAATGTCATCAAGTAATGCCCAAAGCGGGTCGTCAAGATGTGATAGTCACTTTTACCTTAGTTTGTTTTGTAATATTCTAGCAACAATATGGGAAGGGCAAGCCAACATTTGCTAGTGCATTTCAACATTGTTGGAGGAGGCCACCATCACAAAATGCAGTCACTCCATGCAACTGCATGCAGCATAAACCTGGCATTGAACAAGAACCTGTGCCTGGGAAATTTATCCAATGTAAGCAGCAAATGTTGTAGTTAATGTATTTAATGGGTGCATTGGTTTGTGTTGTACCTGAATTGTATGGTTTGTCAGCAAGATAGATGATCTTTATGATTTATCACAAGTCTCATGCTGAAGTAATTAGATCAAGTAGGGTACAGGGTTATCAAATTAATTGTAGCATTATAGAATGTCTGCTCATGCAAGAGAAGTTTTCAGATTTGTTGCATTTATAGAAACTGATGTTTTGTGTTAAATATTACAATATTCTGAATGCTAGTTGTAACCTTGTCCTCAGCACTGTATCTGTTACACATCATTGCATAATTTATATCAACACAATTTCTTTGTAATAATATGAGCAAATGTTAAGTACAAGGTGGTACATAAATATTATATCAGTACATGTTGCATGTATGTAAAAATGTGCATAGCTGGGGCATGGTTTGGGGCAATCTAAGGTCCATTGATAGTTTGTATTGCCTTGGGCCAAGGCTGCATATGTTTCAGATACTGATGCACCTTCTAAGTCTGTCTAAGCTGCCCATTTCACTTCAGCTGCTTAGGTGTACCTTTCCTACTCAGAGGTCAATGGATGAAAGGTAAAGTTATAAATTACAAGGCCTGAGGAATAAAAAAAAATGTCATATTGAAGTTTCAAATATTTATTTTGCAGGTCTTGTGATGTGAAAGCAAGATTTTCAGGTTTATTTATTCAGTGGAGCCAGTGATAATATGTTTGTGTTCACCTTATGCCAAAAACCCTTCATGCAAATGGCTTACGGGAGCATGGTTACTTAGGCCATCGGCCTGTCAGGTGTTTAAACTCTTCAAGATCAACCAAAGAAGTTTTATAAATTTTGTCATATCAGGACCTTTGTGCAGTACAGATCACGATTATGGCACTTATCATTATAATGCTTACCATCCTGCTTGTAAGCACAGCTGCTTCCCAATCAGCGGTGCTTGCGATGTTACTATGCTATCGTTGCTGCGCTGGTCCTGAGGCGGCATTGCCGGCCCTGCACAGCAGTGGCCGCCAGCATCGCAACTTAAGAACCTAGCACGGTGTCTGGTCCTACCTCTGGGCGTGTTGGATGGCCAGCCTTGGACCGCTACCGTCGCGATAGGTTCCATGCGTCAGGCGCAATAATGTTATGCGCCCCAGCCATAGGCTGTTGCATGTAGCCCGACGGCTGCATAACACCTGTCAGGTATACCTGATGGATATAAAAAGATATCGTGTGTATTTCTTGTAATATCTTGCAGCATATTTCACAGCACAGCAGATGCATTTTTGGGCTATACATAATACGCATATATATGCATACGATATATATATATATATATATATATATATATACGTTTATATATAATCAGAACAATGTTGCACTCAATAGTTCTAACGCCAGTTAGTTGCCGTATTCACTCCGTGTTCCATCTCAACCCCTCTGAAGAGTTGACGGCAGCGGGATTCGATCCCACGCCCGGACATCGTGGGGCGTGCGTGGGTCTGCGCTTTGCCCGATAGCCCGAGAATGAGTGCCACGGCGCACACTTTTGATCTTGGAAATCGAAAGAGAATTGTTCAAGCTTTATTTCTATGCACTTTTATGCATATACATGTTCAAGATTTAGAAAGCCGTGGGCCTGAAGAAGGTCGTTTTAACATGGGAACCCCATGGCTAGTTGTGAAATGTGCGCCGTTGCTGCCATATTTTATACTAGACGACCCCCGGCCTGGACCCACCCAACTCTACTCAACTCTACCCAACTCTACTCGGTTCTACTCAGCTCTACTCGACTCTACTCAACTCTACTCGGCTCGGCACCGCTCCCAGTCGGGCCAGTACTTGTCCTTCATACGCTCGTGGTATTGCACCAGAGCGTCGTAGTTAGCGCGAACGTAGCGCTCCACCTCAGGTGCGCAACCGTATATGACTTGGGTCAGCACGGCGAACACAGCCGCGTCGTACGTGGTAGGCTTGTTGTCCAGCAGGAACGGCTTGTCGCCGAGTACATCTTCCAGCGCTCGCAACTCACGATACAGGAAAAACATCGCCTCCACCTCGCTAAAGCGGGCCATGCCTATGATGTAGAGTATACGCTTCAATCTTGAGAAGAATATGGGCATCATGAGCCTGAGCATGAACCGATACTTCTTGGAGAAACACCCCATGATGTAGGAACAGCGGTCGATAACATAGCGTTTTATAGCCCACGGCCGTAATGGCGTGCTCGTCGAGCATCACCTGCACGGCACGTCCGACGGCATGCTCAGCCGGCGTTGAGCTTTTCCTTCAGAGGTTTTCCGAAAGTGTTGCGTCAGAAAGTCGATGATAAGCTCCGAGTCGGACAGCTCCTGCCCGTTGAAGGTGATCCAAGGACACTTGTCACGGGACCCCTGTGGCTCGTCCGTGTCCACCACGTACTTGATGCCGGCCATGCGCAGGAACGTCTCCAGCTTGAGCGCGAACGGCGACAGGTTGGGACAGTTGGTGCCACGTTCGAACTGGTGCAGCACCACCACGTCCTTCCCGGCCTGGTTCCAGCGCTGCCGGCGCTGGTAGCGCCTGTAGCGGCCGTACACTTTGAGGCCGATGCCGAGCAGGGCGGCGCCCAGCAACACCTTGCCCACGCGACGGCCGCTCTCGCCGCGTGCGCACTCGGACACACCGCTCCACACGGCACCAGGGCGGAACGCCGACATTGCTGACCGGTGCACCATCGTGCGTCAACTAGTGCGGACTGGCTCGGGTCCACAGGCGGCCACCAGATGGCATGCGACGTCAGGCACTGGAGGTCGACGCCCGATAACTACGCGCCAGGCGTGACTGCAAACGGCCTTGGGGGACGGCGTAGTCGTGCCATGAGAACAGCAGGGGAAGGATCCAAGAAGTGTGGGAGGGAGGCGGGGGTTAGATTCGGAGTATTTTTACTGGGAAGCCGGCCCGATGAACGGGGAGGGGGAGGAGCTAGAGACGCAGGACATGGTCCCTCTAAATTGATACCACACATTTTGGAAATAATGAAATGTCATAGTTTGATGCTACATATACATCTACAGCGGTTTCCCACTGGTGTACAATCTTGGCTATTTGGCTCATCTATGCTATTCGGCAAATAAGGCTATCCAGCTTCCTAAGATTATTTGTTTATTTCAAAATTGTTTTCTCGAGAAAGGTGGAATTGCTCGAGCGGGTGGAAATTTTGGGTCATTGTAGAACCATCTGCCTCGTTTAGGGTCGACACCAAAATGCAGCCTGGGCGCAGCCTGATACCCTGGGAGCAAATACGACTTCTATTTTGCCGTGACAACGAGGAGCGACTCTTTTTTGCAACATGGCATGCAATTTGGCAAGAACGTCACCTTAACCTTAACTAGGCTCTTTTTCAAGCCCTTGAGGACCTTTGTGAACTTTTGGTTTCCAGCAGGTGCTTTCTTCGCTAGCCATGGTTGATAGATTGCCACAAAATTGCCAGCATTTTTAAAAGCTGATTATTTCAGGGTCTTCCACGTGCCTGACTCGCTAGCGCTCTCGCCAGTGACTTGCGCAGCAGGCCGTCCCAGTACCTTCACACGGGCCGGCCGGTCATCCATGTTACCTTACTTTACACGCTCGAAGCCTCAGTCACGAAGCCATTACAGCTATGTCTGACATGGTACAAACGACAAATCTGCAAAACTGGAACATTTAGCCTCACCCGTACTGAAGATTGGTTATCGGATGGAGATGTGCCTGAGCAACAGTTTTTTTACGAAGTGCAACATTATTCAGAGTAAAACTCCAGGGGTACCCAAAGGAGGTGGGAACAAAATGGCCCACCGGCAGCCGTTCTTTTATGCTATGCCTGCAGCAGCAAGGCGGCGCGAAAAAGACTGGCATAATTACGCTTGCGTCAAGTTAGAGACAGGAAGTTTTGGGACTCCTCAAAGGGGCATGGCTGTAAACTACAAGGAATTGCCTTGTCCAAGCATTGCTACCATGAAAACCATGAAAAAACAGCTTGTGAAAACTACCACCTAAATATGACCAAAAAAGTATACGAAAATATACGAAATATGGACCAAAAAGGACAAAATTCTCTCCCCCCCCCCCCTCCCCCTCCTCCTCCCACTCTCAGTGTAAAGGTACCTTACTACTAGCGTTAACGCTTTATAGGGCGAAAATGAAACATACTCTCAGACAGAAAAAGACAGACGTACAGAAACTAAATGCTGCATGCACAAATTAAAAACTGCCGCTTTGTTGTAAATATCTCAAGCGTCCTCCGATAACTCAATTTGGTTAGAGCGTGTGCCTTCCGATTTACACAACAGTGATGACGTGGGTTCCACATAGCTGTGGCAACGTGAGTTCGAGTCGCTTTAGGCGCTCACTTTTTATCTTGACAGCTATGACCTGCGGCTGGTGGAAACGACGGCACAGGTCAGGTGACATCAGAGGGTTGGGCAGGCCGTGCCGAGCATTGCGGTGCATGGAACTTTTGCCAACAGATTCTGCCGTTGACCTGAAATTTAGCGATTGGATGGCGGGGGGCCTGGTAGGGGTGCCGAGTCTGATCCCAGAATCCATTCATTCAAAAGTTTCAGATTATATTTCTAAAAAGCGCATGCTTTGCAGAAATACTTCCAGAACGGTAATTGTTGTATCTGCGCTATGTACGAATTTATCTTAAACATGCAATACTTTGTTTAGATCATGATTATTGAGTTCTGTAAAACGTTGAAAATTTGATGAACTTTAAGACTATCCTCTACCGACGCACCGAGAAAACGACAGGCGTACTATACGAAGCCTCATACGCGATCAAGAGGGAACGTAAAAGCTGAATTTGCTGTCCGTAGCAATTAACAATGTATATATATATATAATATATGCCAACGTACTCAAAAAATCATGTTCAGATTTGTCCAGATCAGCTAAAAAATTAAAACTTAAAGGCCGCTTACAAAACGGTGTGGACTGTAAGGGAGACGTCATTAACAATAGCCTGGCTTACCGCAGAATCGCCTTTTCACTCGTTTGAGCCATTTGGTAAGCTAGTCCGAGAACAACTCCTACTGAGTGTCTCTGGCCGACGAATAGTTCGCTCCAACTGCTGTCCGATCTGATTGAAAGCAAGCATGCCGGGTGGAATGCTGCGATAATGACGCTGCCTTATAGCCCGCAATAGCTCCTTGGAGAGTCGCTGCACGTACATTGGACAGCCACTCACAGCTTCAAACAATTCATAGAAGCATTGCAATTTTAAAAACATTTCAACCATGGGGCCAGTTTTTGCGTAAGCAGTGCATGTGCTTCCTTGCCCTGATTAAAAACCCAGACGACTGAGTATTTTAGTTGGCATCCATCCCATAAGGTTAAATGCGTTACATGCAAGCCATCCGCAAATGCAGAAACGATCCTTTTTCCGTTACACATGACCTGTGCGGTACATCTATGCTTATATTACCATCAACAAACAAACCTAGATTGGTTAACAATGGTTTTGCTGTTTAATTAGCGTGTTCCAAGCAACGCATGTGCGTACATAGTGCGGGAAACATTATATCTTAAGAAGCCATAATAATTTTGCACCAGTAAAAGCCACGGTAGTTTCAAAACGCATTTCTGGGGTATTGCAGGGGGTTATATATGCCTTGCCGTTCAGGTGGTTGCATCCATTTCTTCCCTTGACTCGTAACGATGTCGATAACTCCTACCTCCATCTCATGGGAGCCCCTGTACAAATACAACGCTCTCTATTGAGGTTAAACAAGGACGTGCCTTAGTCAATTAGTGTTTATTTTGCATCTTCCGCCATCTCGGCTTCCGTAGCCCGGGTGGCTGGTAGCTCGGGTAGCTCGTAGCTCGTGTAGGCATCCTCGTAGGCACTGCAGATGCCCATATATGATCTGGAGTCAGTGAGTCATTGTTATCATGTCAGTCAGCAATCTACAGCAGATCGTCAAAAGAATCGCCTTTGGTACACTGCTTTGGTGACACAACATGCCTCATGCGCAGCCGATATGTATAACCGATCGACATCGTGGAAGGCAGTTCGCCCCACCCCAAAATTATTGGCAGACGCCAAACTTGTTGCGGTATAGGGGGGCCCATGTAATTCACTTCACTCAGAAAAGCAGTCGGATTAGTCTGGTTGCCGTATGGTTGTACATTCGTTTGCCGTAGTACCTAACACTCTACCGATTGCTAGAGCTTTCAGCAATATAGGAAGAAACGCTTCGCTCGCCCACCCCAAAACGAAGACAACCCGGAAGAACACTAAAAGATTCATGGCACTGCAGTACCCTTTAGTGCACTTTGTCTGTTTTAGTTGCCAAGTCGCTTAAGACCGGCATCTGTTGCATAAATTCAAAGAAAACCCCCTCGATACTCCTAGGACACGATGCAACTCACCCCACTCTCCCCTACGTTACATGGTATGTTTTATCAAAACAATAGGTTGATGGAGTCATTAAGGTCAGTGGCCTACTCTGAACTTTGAGAATTCCAAAAAAGATGCCTGCTGACGTCCCCATGATCAATATATTTGAAATGAGCATTCAAAAGTACTCCTAAGCGCAAATTCCCCAGTGAAAAAATTGTTTGGTTTTCACCTCTGTTTTACCTTGATATCTGACCCAGGGCCAATAAAACTTGTAATCCTGAATTCTGTTGGCTAGCTGTGTAAAAAGCCGTCTTAGAAATGCATAGCTTGGTCTGGCATTCTGATGTCGCATTTGATGGCAAATTACATTACAAAATTATGAACTAAATTACACAACATGGCAAAACGTTCTGGGTGAGTGCAATTGATCCTCCCTAGGCCCTGCGGCCGACTCCTTCAGTGCGACCGCCTTCGATGCATCGTAGGCAAAGGCCGGTATCGTTGAAAGCATGATACCAGCATCTGCTCATCTGATAGAATTGTAGCTCGCAGCTCGTGATTCTAAAAGGGCGATACCCGAAAATCGAGCATCTACCGTCAACTTTGTGCAATTTGACCTAATTTGTCCCAGGTGATAAGGTGTGGTGTGGTGCCCAAAAACCCAGCAGCACTTATATTTAAAATTCGTCTCTGCGAGTGGAACCAAACTTGTCGGACAGCACGAGTCTAGTGTCATCACAAAATGCTCGAAAAACGTGCAAGGCCGCCGACACAGATTTCTTTGGTATGAAAAAGCTGCTCTGCATTATTCGCCACAGCCAGCTTGCTGGTGCGTCGTGGGCAAGGAGTAGCAGCGTTGAAAAGGTGATAGCCGTTTTCAAGATGGATTAATACACCCAAAGCTCTTTTTAATTTTATCAAATGCTTCCGTCCAGTTTTAGTATGCATTAAGCACTAAGAGTTTCGGCGATCTGCTTAATTAAGTATATACGGGATATTTTTCAGTAAGTAGCATCTTTAAATGAATTTTCGGTCAGCGACATTGTTCGCAAAATCGAAAAGTCCGAGTATAAAGCGGATACCAGATGCTAGCCAGTGGTGACATTGGTCTCCCCACCATACACGCCATGAAAAGGCACACACTGCCCACTCTTTGGTAGAACAAATCACAATATATCGCAGGCGATAAGATGCAGCAGCTTTGTACAGATGGAGACAACGTTATTCTGCAGGACACAATATTTATGTTTCGTATGAGTTTCAGTTAGCGTATGTGCATCGATATACAAATTTCCCAATAAGGTCGCGTTTATTTTTTGCAAATTTTGAACAGCCAAGGGGTTCTCAATATGCTGAATCTCACGTATTTGGTGTGCAGAGAGACAATGATCGCCAATGAGAGCCTCAGCAAATTGTTGTTCCTATTTATTTTTGCTTCTAGGGTGCGCTCGTTAAATCATAGCTGAATGTGTCTTTTTCAGTCGTCAATATACGATGCATTTTCGCCGCTACCCTCACATATCAAACACGTTATACCGTACATAGAACCAGACGTCAGATATTTTCCTTTCAAATCCGACATGCACGCATTACAAACTCGTTTACCGGATGGACAAACAGGTTGTGAGAAAGACGACCGAACTAAATTGTGTTTTAAAGTATTTTGGTTTTGCCATGATATACGAACATTAAGATCACAACTTTTCACAATCGATTTTATCTTTACGCACAAAGCTTTATCCATATACGGTAAGGTATGATAGTCGTCCATGTCTTGATCTCGTTGGCCTTGATGGTGTTTCTGCTTATGATGACGTTGATGTTTTTGTTGATATTAAAATATTTTCACTGCTGTTATTTTTCTCGGCGTTGTTATCCAGTGGAAGGTGTTGTGGCGGCTTTGCGATGAATGCGACGTATAAGCTGTTTGGAGTAGCCGTTGCTTCGGACAGGTTTCGCATTTTTACATAAGCGGCTATTTGCAACGGCATTTGAAGTATTTCCATCGCACGGCATTTTCATTTCGTCGGCACAGGATGGCTAATGTGTTACGGATCATGATCCCAGAATGGTTCGGCTTAATGAAGAGTTCTGTTGAAAATTTGAGGTTTGGATCGACCGTCACGGGCGTCTCCAGAACGCAAGCTGCCCGGACCCATCCAGCTCTACTCGACTCCACCCAGCTTTACTCGGTTCTACTCAACTCTACTCGGCTCTGCTCAGCTCTATTCGGCTCTTCTCAGCTCTACTCGGCTCGGCACTGCTCCCAGTCGGGCCAGTACTTGTTCTTCATACGCTCGTGGTATTGCACCAGAGCGTCGTAGTTAGCGCGAACGTAGCGCTCCACCTCAGGTGCGCAACCGTATATGACTTGGGTCAGCTCGGCGAACACAGCTGCGTCGTACGTGGTCGGTGTGGGTGTCCAGCAGGAACGACTTGTCGCCGAGTACATCTTCCAGCGCTCGCAACTCACGATACAGGAAAAACATCGCCTCCTCCTCGCTAAAGCGGGCCCATGCCTATGACGTAGAACATACGCTTCAATCTTGGGTGGAAAATGGGCACCAAGAGCCTGAGCATGAGCCGATACTTCTTGGAGAAACACCCCATGATGTAGGAATAGCGGTCGAGAACATAGCGTTTATAGACCACGGCCATCATGGTGTGCTCGTCGAGCATCACCTGCACGGCACGTCCGACGGCATGCTCAGCCGGCGTGAGCTTTTCCTTCAGAGGTTTTCCGAAGTGTTGCGTCAGAAAGTCGATGATAAGCTCCGAGTCGGACAGCTCCTGTCCGTTGAAGGTGATCCAAGGACACTTGTTGCGTGACCCCCGTGGCTCGTCCGTGTCCACCACGTACTTGATGCCAGCCATGCGCAGGAACGTTTCCAGCTTGAGCGCGAACGGTGACAGGCTGGGACAGTTGGTGCCACGTTCGAACTGGTGCAGCACCACCACGTCCTTCCCGGCCTGGTTCCAGCGCTGCCGGCGCTGGTAGCGCCTGTAGCGGCCGTACACTTTGAGGCCGATGCCGAGCAGGGCGGCGCCCAGCAACACCTTGCCCACGCGACGGCCGCTCTCGCCGCGTGCGCACTCGGACCACACCGCTCCACACGGCACCAGGGCGGAACGCCGACATTGCTGACCGGTGCACCATCGCGCGTCAACTAGTGCGGACTGGCTCGGGTCCACAGGCGGCCACCAGATAGCATGCGACGGCAGGCACTTGAGGTCGACTCCCGATAGCTGCGCGCCAGGCGTGACTGCAAACGGCCTTGGGGACTGCGTAGTCGTCCCATGAGAACAGTAGGCGTAGGAAGGCTCCAAAAATGTGGGGGGGGGGGGCAGATTCGGAGTATTTTTTACTGTGAAGCCGGCCCGATGAGCGAGGAAGGGGAGGAGGTAGAGACGCAGGACATGGTCCCTTTAAATTCATATCGCACATTTTGGAAAGACTGAAATGTCATGGGTTTGATGCTAAATATACATCTACAGCTGTTTCCCACTGGTGCACAATCTTGCCTATTTGGCTCATCTATGCTATTCGGCAAATAAGGCTATCCAGCTTCCTAAGATTATTCGTTTATTTCAATATTGTGTTCTCGGGGAAGGTGAAATTGCTCGAGCGGGTGGAAATTGTGGGTTATTGTAGAAGCATCTGCCCCGTTAGGGTAGACACCAAAATGCGGTCTTGGGCGCAGCCTGGTCATGATTTTGAATGCAAATCAATGGCCAATAGAGTGCCAGTTTTTCTGCGCCTAGGTCTTGCCGGCTGCTTGTCAAGAGATACCATTTGTCGCAGAACTTTTGGTTTGGAACAAACGCGGGAACATCATGTACTTACTGCCAAAAACAGTGTGCCAAAAAAATGAAACCGGAGCTTCTCCTGAAAGACCAAACCACATAATGCAGACTCTTCTGTTAAATATTTCCTTTCTGAGCCCTGCTCCCATGCGCTGCCGGCAGCCACTGCCCTGGCCCGGCTGTCCTCCTCATGACTGACTGTGATCTGCTCGTATGACTGCTTTGCTGCATGTTTATGGGTCAGCAATACTACTTATTGTCGTGTTAACAGGGAGCTAGAATCGCTTTGGAACTCGGGTAAGAGTGAAAAATTTCATCGCAAAAAAGATCATGTGGGAGTGAAAAACTCAATTAAAAAAATATGGAACTTATGAGCTTGTGATTGATGCTTCAGCAAAGACATCTACTTTAAGTTGGCATGGACGTAATATCAGGAACCTGACAAGACTATTTGGTTTTTTAACATCTTAGGCCATTAAAGTGAAACAGAATACATTAACACGCGCTCGGGTGGAGAGTGGGGGGCAAATTGACCCCTCCCCCGAGGGCTTTTCCCGAATGGTTTCTGAACGGCGCGGCGTAGCCGCGCCAAATTTTGCAGGGCTGTAGAAAATTGCATAGTGGATCGTTAGACACACAAATTTTAGATGTACCTTGTAAGGTCGCTGACATATGACAGGTCAAAGTCAGCCCGTGGTTTTAGCGAAGGCAATTTCTAGGGAATCGTTCAATCTGATACAACAACGGAGTGTTTGACGAAGACGTACATCTCTGAGATGCTTTCTTTCGCACAAAAAAGATTAAAGGAGCAAATTATGTTGACCTTAGGTAAGGTATGATGGTCAAACCAAGGTACAAACCAACCTGATTTATTACTCTAGGGCTTGCTGTATGGGGTAGTTTCTGGTGCTCATTTCGAATTTATTGACAGTAGGAACAGCATTATACATCTTCAATTGACTTCTTGGAGGTCAAAACAGGCCATTCACCTAAAATGACCCGGGTCGAACGTTTTGTTTTAGGAACATACTGCCTAGTGTAATCTTTGTCGCTTATTCCAATGCAAAACCCAGATCAGTCTTGTATCATTTAGTCACCATGACCTTCAAAGCGTCAAGCAAAGTCAATGACCTCAAATGGGCTTGGGAACTTCTTAGAGACAGTTGCCTAGGTTCTGCGGGCGCTTTGGAGACGAACCTGGAATTTGGTCTTGTTTGACCTTATTCGACCTGAAGGTCATGACCTAGGAAGCTGAAACCTTAACCTAAGTGAGTTCACGTATAGTTCAAGACACCCTGTAAATTTGGTGTCTCTAGCTTTTTTATTTCCCGAGATCTCAGAGGGGGGGTCAAATTAACCCCGCTCCACATGAGCGAAGGGTATCTAGCTGGCCAACCGGGAGCGTGTTAAAACATAGTAATTTTATGACAGCATTATGAGCGTAACAAATTATTAACACCAATAATTTGATGCTGCACTTTTCAATTCCTTTCCATAGCACTTTTAAAACAAAACAAAGCAAACGAATTCAATAACAAAATAACAACAGAAAATTCAACACGCATAGAACACTCAAACAAAAAAACCTTAGACTCCTACACATCAGCCCATCACCAAGTTAAACACAATAGACATGTTTCTGGATTCTGCTAAGATGGGGTGAGGGAAAACAAACATTTTGTCACTGTTCCTTAAAAATTACCAATGCTTATTTCCATGAAAGTAGCCTATGCCTAACCTAGAGAGGCCTTACAACATCTCATCCGGTATAACCTGTTTGTATCACAGCAGTAGTTGTGAGTTACTGATTCTTGCACAATTCCTATTGCCACTTGCCATGCACCTGACCAACTTAACCTAACTTAGAATAGCCCATATGATGAACATCATCTCAGCTCACCTATCTGTTGACAGCAGCACTTGTGATAAAAACAATATATTTAAAGCTACTTTTTGGCTGGTTCCAATTTGCATTTTGAGGTCAGGGTGTACTTTCCTACCTAACGTTAGAAAAAATCATTGTACACCATTCGTCGCGTTTAAGGCATGACATATCGTAAATAATCTCAAAACAGGTAGAATCATGCTCCTACCTTCGAATTTCAATAACTTCGATGGCGGGCCCCCGAGCGCCGCGCGCACCGCACCGCCTGGACTCCCCAGCGCCGTTTCCGCGTTGCCGTTGCATAAATACAGTATTTCTGCGTACCACGAACTGTACAAAATATACGGGACCAAAGTAAACCATTCGTCGTGTTTAACGCAGGACATATCGTAAATAATCACAAAACAGGTAGATTAATGATCTTAGCTTCATTTTTTTTTTATAATTGCGATGGCGAGCTCCCGAGCGCCGCACACGCACAGCACCCGTGACACCGGCGCCATTACTGCTCGGGTCACAACATTACTGCGAACCATAAAAATGTACCGGGACAAGGTAGCAAGAATCCATGAAATTTGATCCTCGACGCCAACGGGACCATGGGTTGCAGGGGGATTGGGTGGGGAATGTAAAACAAAATGAGAACATGGCACCTAAATAAAAGCTCACTATATGACACCTATATATGGCATGGAACATGGATGCCAATGAGATGCTGGGTTTAAGAGGATATAGGGTGGGGAGGTTAGGTTAGGTTAGGTTAGGTTAGGTTAGGTTAGGTTTGGTTTGGTTTGGTTTGGTTTGGTTTGGTTAGGTTAGGTTAGGTTAGGTTAGGTTTAGGTTAGGTTAGGTTAGGTTAGGTTAGGTTAGGTTAGGTTAGGCTAGGTCAGGTCAGGTTAGGTCAGGTCAGGTCAGGTCAGGCTAGCTTAGCTTAGCTTAGCTTAGGTTCTGGTCTATTCTCAGTTAGGTTAGGTTAGGTTAGGTTAGGTTAGGTTCGGTTAGGTTAGGTTAGGTTAGGTTAGGTTAGGTTAGGTTAGGTTTGGCTAGTTTAGGATATGTTCTGGACTATTCTGGCCTGCGTGTTTCATAAATGTACCTAAACTCGACAAGAAACGATTTTGGTTGCTTTATTATTGTTACCTTGGTCCTGTACATGTTTTATGGTTCTTGATAAGCAGAAATATTGTGCTTTCGCAACAACGCAGAAAACGGCGCTTGGAAGTCGAGGCAGTGCGGTGCGGGGGCGTGCGGCGCTCCGGAGCTCGCTATCGTATTTATTAAAATTCGAGGGTGGGAGCATGATTCTATCGGTTTTGAAATTATTTACGATATGTTCCGCCTTAAACACGGCGAATGGTTTACCTTGGTCCCGTACATTTTGTACAGTTCTCGGTAAGCAGAAATATTGTATTTACGCAACGGCAACGCAGAAACGGCGCGGGGGAGCGGTGCGGTGCGCGCGGCGCTCGGGAGCCCGCCATCGAAGTTATTGAAATTCGAAGGTAGGAGCATGATTCTACCTGTTTTGAGATTATTTCCGATATGTGCCGCCTTAAACACGACGAATGGTGTGCAATGATTTTTTCTAACGTTAGGTAGGAAAGTACACCTACACCTATTTTGATTCAGTTCATTTGTGTATGTTTGTTGACATCAGACAAAGTTGACAACACACAAGTCAAAACACTTTAAATCACTTTGAACAACTTATTTTGATTGTCATGGTTAACCAAAGTCAAGGGCAATAATGAGTATGCTCCACAAAACAGTCTCTCTTCTCCACAAATAACACAACTTTTAGATGACCATGCCAGTATTGCTGCTTGCCTTTTCAGCTGCAGCAAATGCATCCATTTGGGCTTGTTTATTCATAGTGAAGGACAAAGTTTGAGATGTTGGCTTCACATTTTAAATGGGGTGGTCTGACTATTTGTTACATACCAATATTTAACTGATATTTTAGTTGCTATCCAGCTTAGAGTATCCCTGTGTTAAAAACATAGTGCATATTTACAGTAGTTATTTGTTGGTCGGCAAACCATGACAACTATAGAAAACATGTGTTTTGAGGCCAATAACCAAGAATATGGAACAAAATAAGCCCATTGCATGCCTTGCGGCATCATAATTTGTCTTATGGCAAAACTCGATGCACTAAAACAACTCTGGCTAACTCTGGCTACCAATCATGTGTTGAAAACAGGTAAGGTAAGCAATTACTTGGTCCACAGGAGACTTCGTGGCTTCTTCTTGCTCCCCTAAAAACACAAATTCAGTACCTTTTGCATGGTCTGCTGGCAGACAGAGTCATCCGGCTCACTCCCCAAATGTAAATACCAATCATGCCCACGAACCTTCGAGATTAAGACGCGAAACAAGTAAGAGGTGCGCATGATAAACATGTCCGGAGGGCATAATTTCGCCATCAAACACTTCTGTATTAGCTGCGTCAGGTCCGTCCCAAGTCTCTGTATGGCAGCATTTATTCTAATGTTAATGCCTTGCCAGGTAGCCTGGTGCGTCAGACACTCGAAAGGCTTGGCTTTATCATTATTGAACACCGCCATGAACCAAGAAAACGATTAATGGAAGGTTAACAGGGCAAAACTGACGGTAAAAATAAGCTTCGTGCTTCAAATTGTCTCCTTCGTTCCCTGTGAATTGTCCACGCTTGGGTGCGTATCAAACATGTTTGGGGCGGCTGGCGAATTAATATATTTTATGTATGAAATACGTACAAGTTTGCAGTTGGAGCATCTTGCAGAGAAATTGGTCCAAATTTAAGCAGCAGATGGTACCTCTAAAGACAACCGAAAAGGAAGGAAGAATTAAGTGGTATGACACTGGTATGATACCAATAAAAGTTTAAGTAGCTAAATAAATATGAAGACTGGTACTTTTCTTGCAAGATTTGTAACCCTTCTAATTTGACTTAAAATATGTTAATGCAAGTGCTCAAATGGTGATATTCATCTTGTACGTTTAATTTATAAGACATTTATTGAACTTTTCACTCATGTATTTGGGGAATGATGCAATTTAGTGGACAAGTTTCCTCAGGTAAAAAGAAACACGTGGAGTAAAATTCTCTACCAGGCCAGATCCATGCCCTCTTTTGTGACTACGACTCAAGTGGATTAGTCCGCTCTGAGTTGGGATCAAACTCAGTGCAAAATGGTAAGCACATACTATTCCATAGAGCACTGAGCAAGGGCTTAAGCTGCAGTAAGACAAACATTTGGACCCACCAGTGACAGAGACCTATGTGAACAGCTTACATAGAGCATAGGTACAGAAACAAGATGAAAGGGGCTTTGTTTAAGTGCTACATATGATCAAACTAATCTCTTCTATGAATATCCATCTTTACTTGTAATAACATTATAAGTATACTTGGTATTTCAGAACCTGATACATCCAACAACAAACATCATAACAGTTGTGCCCCATTACCTTGCATGGACATATGGATTTTTGCTGTTGGCGGGTGGGCTTGAGTTCGCGACCCTTCTGCACCTTCACCATCTGGGACTATTTCACTGAAGTTGAATGTGTCTTTTACATGCTCACACTTCCCAGCACCTTGAGTTGTTTCAATTAGGCAATCAACTGACACATGGCCAGTGATGGGGGACCTCTGGGAAGTCTTTTGTGCCCCATGGTACCTTCGAAGGTTTTTCTGTGGGTCGCCAACAGACATATGACTTGTAGGGAATTCAATTTTGATGGCATATAGTCTGGTTGCTGCTTGTCCCACCACTTGGCAAGACATCCTGAAAATAAAAATGCAAGTGCTAGTATTAGCAAGTATAGTATTAGCAGGTATAGTACTGCAATTAATTATCAAATAGTTGTCTGTAAAACAGTAAGTATATCAAGTTCAAACATGAGACCATAAGCCAAATAATGTCATATATAGAGTAGATCCACCAAAACAGTAACAGTTATGTTGATGTGAGACATGTTTTCCTGGTAGCCTAAACTATAACCTCTAGCAGATACGTATAGCATTATAGTGACATCGTGCAGTGATTTTAACAGTAAAACTATGAACTAGTCTTAAGGAAACCCAAGTCCTCTTGAACGATCTGTCTTAGGCTGCAGCAGTGAAAACTGTACTGCAAATAGTGCAGCTAAAACTTAACCAGTCTGTATGTAATTTATGACGACACGGACCATTTCGGTTTACCAGTTTGACGTTTGGGCAATTCATGAGATAGAACCTCGACCTGTGTTACACGTACCAGAAACGGAAAGCGTAGAACATATCTCAGCGTCCTTGTACGGTTCTCCTTTCCTTCGGATCGCCGCCAGCCCAAGCCTTCTCCGCTCCTGATCGCGTTGGGAGTTAGGAACGCGGAAAAATCTTAACTCCTTACAATCTTCCAAAAGCAAAGCAAGATGGCATGATTTGGGGCCAAGAAACCAGATAACCCTGGTCTAACAGTCCTTTACCACGCTAGCTCTAACGGATTTCTCAAGCCCTTCGAATTCGGATTTCTACGGCCTTGGGTACTAACCAAGGCATAAAACACTGTTGAGACGGGGTTATAATGCGACGCATCATCCCATTCGGGATTGTCACATTTGATGACGTCACCAATCGGGAAATGTAATCACTTTTATAGCCCGCAATAGCTCCTCGGACAGTCGCTGCAAGTACCTTGGACAGCCACTCGCAGCTTCAAACAATTCATAGATTCATTCAATCATTGCAATTTTAAAGCATTTCAGCCATCTTGCCAGTTTTTGCGTAAGCACTGCATGTGCTTCCTTGCCTTGATTGGAAACTCAGACGACTGAGTATTTTAGTTGGCATCCATCCCATAAGGTTAAATGCGTTACATGCAGCCATCCGTAACTGCAGAAACGATACTTTTTCCGTTGCACATGACCTGTGCGGTACCTCTTATACTTGTATTACCATCAACAAACAAACCTAAATGAGTAAAAAAAAGGTTTTGTCTTTTAATCAACGTGTTCCAAACAACGCATGTGCGTACATAGCGCGGGAACATTATATCTTAAGAAGCCATAATAATTTTGCACCAGTACAGCCACGGTATTACGAAAAGCATTTCTGAGATATTAAACAGGGTTATGTATGTCTTGCCGTTTCTGGCGGTTGACACGCCTCTCTCCCCTTGACTCGTAACGATGTCGATAACTCCTACCTCCATCTCATGAGAGCCCCTGTACAAATGCAACGATCTCTGTTAAGGTTAAACAAGGACGTGCCCTAGTCAGTTAGTGTTTATTTTACACCTTCCGCCATCTCGGTTTCCGTAGCTCGGGTAGCTCGTAGCCCCGGTAGGCATCTTCGTAGGCACTGCAGATGCCCACTTATGATCTGGAGTCAGTGCGTCGTTGTTATCATGTCAGTTAGCAATCTACAGCAGATCGTCAAAAGAATCGCCTTTGGTACCTTGCTTTCGTGACACAACATGCCCCTTGCGCGGCCGATATGTGTGCCGCCCGACATCGTGGAAGGCAGTTCGCCCCACCCCAAAATCCTTGGCAGACGCCAGACTTGTTGCGGTATAGAGGGGGCACATGTACTTCACTTCACTCAGAAAAGCGGTCAGATTAGTCTGGTTACCGTATGCTTGTACATTCGTTTGCCGTAGTACCTAACACTCTACCGATCGCTAGGGCTTTCAGCAATATGAGACGAAACAATTTGCTCGCCCACCCCAAAACAATGGCACCCGAAAGAACACTCAAAGATAAATGGCACTGCAATACCCTTTAGTGCACTTTGTCTGTTTTAGTTGCCAAGTCGCTTAAGACCGGCATCTGTTGCATAAATTCAAAGAAAACCCCCTCGATACTCCTAGGACACGATGCAACTCACACCACTCTCCCCTACGTTACATGGTATGTTTTCTCAAAACAATGGGTTGACTGGGTCACTCAAGGTCAGTGGCCTACTCTGAACTTTGAGAATTCCAAAAAAGATGCCTGCTGACGTCCCCATGATCAATATATTTGAAATGAGCATTCAAAAGTACTCACAAGGGCAAATTCCCCAGTGAAAAAATTGTTTGGTTTTCACCTCTGTTTTACCTTAAGATCTCGCCCACGGACAATAAAACTTGTAATCCTGAATTCAGTTGGCTAGCTGTGTAAAAAGCCGTCTTAGAAATGCATAGCTTCGTCTAGCATTCTGATGTCGCATTTGATGGCAAATTACATTACAAAATTATGAACTAAATAACACAACATGGCAAAACGTTCTGGGTGAGTGCAATTGATCCTCCCTAGGCCCTGCGGCCGACTCCTTCAGTGCGGCCGCCTTCGATGCATCGTAGGCAAAGGCCGGTATCGTTGAAAGCATGATACCAGCATCTGCCCATCTGATAAAATTGTAGCATCGCAGCTCGTGATTTTAAAAGGGCGATACCCGAAAATCGAGTATCTACCGTCAACTTTGTGCAATTTGACCTAATTTGTTCCAGGCGATAAGTTGTGGTGTGGTGCCCAAAAACCCAGCAGCACTTATATTTACAATTCGTCTCTGCGAGTGGAACCAAACTTGTCGGACAGCACGAGTCTAGTGTCATCACAAAATGCTCGAAAAACGTGCAAGGCCGCCGACACAGATTTCTTTGGTATGAAAAAGCTGCTGTGCATTATTCGCCACAGTCAGCTTGCTGGTGCGTCGTGAGCAAGGAGCAGCAGCATTGACAAGATGATAGCCGTTTTCAAGATGGATTAATGCACCCAAAGATCTTTTTTTAATTTTATCAAGTGCTTCCGTCAAGTTTTAGTATGTGTTAAGCACTAAAAGAGTTTCGGCGATCTGCTTAATTAAGTATGTACGGCATATTTGTTCAGTAAGTAGCATCTTTAAATGAATTTTCGGTCAGGGACATTGTTCGCAAAATCGAAAAGTCCGAGTATAAAGCGGATACCAGATGCTAGCCAGTGGTGACATTGGTCTCCCCACCATTCACGCCATGAAAAGGCACACATTGCCCACTCTTTGGTAGAACAAATCACAATATATCGCAGGCGATAAGATGCAGCAGCTTTGTACAGATGGAGACAACGTTATTCTACAGGACGCAACGCTTATGTTTCGTATGAGTTTCAGTAAGCGTATGTGCATCGATATACAAATTTCCCAATAAGGTGGCTTTTATTTTTTGCAAATTTTGAACAGCCAAGGGGTTCTCAATATGCTGAATCTCACGTATTTGGTGTGCGGAAAGACAATGATCGCCAATGAGAGCCTCAGCAAATTGCAAAAACAGTTGTTTTTATTTATTTTTTGCTTCTAGGATGCGCTCGTTAAATTATAGCTGAATGTGTCTTTTTCAGTCGTCAATATACGATGCATTTTCGCCGCTACCCTCACATATCAAACACGTTATACCGTACATAGAACCAGACGTCAGATATTTTCCTTTCAAATCCGACATGCACGCATTACAAACTCGCTTACCGGATGGACACAGGTTGTGAGAAAGACAACCGAACTGAATTGTGTTTTAAAGTATTTTGGTTTTGCCATGATATACGAACATTAATTAAGATCACAACTTTTCATAATCGATTTTATCTTTACACACAAAGCTTTATCCATATACGGTAAGGTATGATAGTCATCCATGTCTTGATCTCGTTGGTCTTGATGGTGTTTCTCCTTATGGTGACGTTGATGTTCTTGTTGATATTAAAATGACATTTCCACTGCTGTTATTTTTCTCGGCGTTGTTTATCCAGTGGAGGGTGTTGTGCGGCTTTGCGATGAATGCGACGTATAAGCTGTTTGGAGTAGCCGTTGCTTCGGACATTTTTACATAAGCGGCTATTTGCAACGGCATTTGAAGTATTTTCATCGCACGGCATTTTCATTTCGTCGGCACAGGATGGGCTGATGTGTTGCGGATCATGATCCCGGAATGGTTCGGCTTAATGAAGATTTCTGTTGAAAATTTGAGGTTTGGATCGACCGTCACGGGCGTCTCCAGAACGCAAGCTGCCCGGACCCGCCCAGCTCTACTCGACTCCACCCAGCTTTACTCGGTTCTACTCAACTCTACTCGGCTCTACTCAGCTCTATTCGGCTCTTCTCAGCTCTACTCGGCTCGGCACCGCTCCCAGTCGGGCCAGTACTTGTTCTTCATACGCTCGTGGTATTGCACCAGAGCGTCGTAGTTAGCGCGAACGTAGCGCTCCACCTCAGGTGCGCAACCGTATATGACTTGGGTCAGCTCGGCGAACACAGCTGCGTCGTACGTGGTCGGTGTGGTGTCCAGCAGGAACGACTTGTCGCCGAGTACATCTTCCAGCGCTCGCAACTCACGATACAGGAAAAACATCGCCTCCTCCTCGCTAAAGCGGCCCATGCCTATGACGTAGAACATACGCTTCAATCTTGGGTGGAAAATGGGCACCAAGAGCCTGAGCATGAGCCGATACTTCTTGGAGAAACACCCCATGATGTAGGAATAGCGGTCGAGAACATAGCGTTTATAGACCACGGCCACCACGGTGTGCTCGTCGAGCATCACCTGCACGGCACGTCCGACGGCACGCTCAGCCGGCGTGAGCTTTTCCTTCAGAGGCTTTCCGAAGTGTTGCGTCAGAAAGTCGATGATAAGCTCCAAGTCGGACAGTTCCTGCCCGTTGAAAGCGATCCAAGGGCACTTGTCACGTGACCCCTGTGGCTCGTCCGTGTCCACCACGTACTTGATGCCAGCCATGCGCATGGTCCCCTACATTCATATGACACATTTCGGAAATAATGAAATGCCATAGTTTGATGCTAAATATACATCTACAGCTGTTTCCTTCTGGTGCACAATCGTGCCTATTTGGGTCATCTATGCTATTCGGCAAATAATGCTATCCAGTTTCCTAAGATTATTAGTTTATTTCAATATTGTTTTCTCGGGGAAGGTGAAATTGCTCGAGCGGGTAGAAATTTTGGGTCATTGTAGAAGCATCTGCCCCGTTAGGGTAGACACCAAAATTCGGCCTGGGCGCAGCCTGGCCATGATTTTGAATAAAAATCAATGGTCAATGGAGTGCCAGTTTTCCTGCGCCTAGGTCCCGCCGGCTGCTTGTCAAGAGATACGATTTGTCGCAGGATTTTTGGTTTGGGAGAAATGCGGGAACTCCATGTACCTACTGCCAAAAACAGTGTGACATAAAAGATGAAGCCGGAGCTTCCCCTGAAAGACCAAACCACATAATGCAGACTCTTCTGTTAAATGTTTCCTTTCTGAGTCCTGCTCCCAGATGCTGCCGGCAGCCACTGCCCTGGCCCGGCTGTCCTCCTCATGGCTAACTGTGAGCTTCTCGTATGACTGCTTTGCTGCATGTTTATGGGTCAGCAATACTACTTATTGCTGTGTGAAACATAGATTCGACACCTGCTACAGTATCTATATCTGAGTTACCTTTCCTTGCACCACATCACAGCAGAAAATAAGTTATCGTGAGCCGGTCGGCCCTAGTCACGAACTGGTCTACCGGGCACTCAATTACCCCTCATTCAACGAAGCCGACTTGATCTGCTTTTGGATGGAGGCAGGGACGTAGCCAGAACATTGTCAAGGGGGAGCACAAGGTTGGCGAAATCCCCTTGATGGTGACCCCCAGAACAATCCGCCAGATATAGCTCAGTTGTTGCTGACCCTTGCCAGAAGGGGGCACATAATAACGGCCCATGATAGTGAAAGCCCGCCCCTCCCCCCTCCCTCTTGAAAAAGAAAGCTGAATAAAGCTGATCTGTTTTCGAGGAACACTGTTCTTCCTTTTGTTGCTATTTTTCTTTGTAACCAGAGTAGAACGAGAAACCAGAGGCTACCGCACGATTTATTCTACTTGCATCTTAAAGTGAACAAAGTGCAGAAATCGTGCGTTGAACGAATGCATTCAATCAACTACTGGTGCTCTTCATCTTGCAATGGTTCGGTAATTTTTTTCTAAGCCGACAGAACTCAGAAGCTCTGGCAGATTACTTCCGTGTTTTTCAGAGATACCGAAGACCGTTGAATGCAAATGTAGATCAAAATGGGTCCAAAATTTGCATTGAAATGACTAGCCAACGTTCTTCTTAAAATGCTCAACATTCAGTCAGAATTCAATCCTGAGAAAAATCATGCATTATGGTTTTGAACAAGCGAGCTCACAAAACTTGCCGCTTCGACGCCTTTCGTGGCGGCGTCTGCGGCGTGCCCCGAGGGGGCCGAGGTGACGGCGGACAAACCTCAACCGCCACTTTGCTGCCTTGGAGCCAAGCATCGCGACCAACCTGCGGAGCGCAGTGAACGCCGGCTCCAAGAACCTCAGGCCGTCAACGGTCTGCGCCGCTGTCTTTTCGTTCCGTTCTGGGACGCTACCGGACCTGCTACGGTGTGTTCAGCGCATGAGTACATCACAGACGGTGGGCCTGGATAAGGTCCCACTCCAGGCTGTGCGGGAATGTTTCTCAGTTGTTGGTCCCCATCTTTTAAAACCCACCTACTCGTCTCTCGCGACGAAAGGCTGTTCAGATACATAGAAGACGGCATGTGTTTTACCAGCTCCGAAGTCGTGTGAACCGGCTGTACCGTCCAATAATACGCCCACATCTCTATTCGGTGTGCTGTCTAAGGTCTTAGGAAAGGTAGTTTGCACATTGCCAACGGGACAATTGAAGGCTTCAGCGCTGCTGCATCCATCCCAGCATGTCTATAGGCTGCGCCACTCGACTGAAGATGTCGTGCTCGCTGCAGCGAACGCCTGGCCGCGAACACCGACGACGGTCTTGCCTCATCGGTAACGACGATCGATTTGTCAAAGGCGTTTGGTGGGGTCGATCACGCCGTCATCCTCACCAAACTGTCCTGGTATGGTGTTACCGATGTGGGATGATTTAGGAATTAAATGAGTGGTCGAGGGCAGGTGGTGCGTGGAGGACGGCTCACTCCTCCCATGTACCGCGGCGTACCCCAGGGCTCGATCATAGGACCAATTTTGTTCATTTTGTTTATCAGCGATCTCTATAGATACTTGGCTGATGGCCGCTGCATCTCCTACGCTGACGACACTGTGTATGCGGGCTGCGTGCCCCGACGGGCCGGGTCTCGCCGACCTCAAAACCAGACTGGAACTTACCATGTGTGAGCTTCAGAACTGGTTCAGTGTTAATCCTCTCCAAATGCACGACATGAAAATTGATTTTGTGCTCGTTGCGGCAAAACAAAATTTTGAAAAAGTCAGTTGACTTCCACTTCGATGAGACGGTTCCCCTATGCATGCCCCAAGTAGCATCGACATTCTCGGCATCATAGTTGATCCCGGTCTGCCATGGGGTGCCCATGTCTCGAGCGTCGTGAACAAAAATGCAATGACATTCTCGTTTCTCTGTAAAAATTCCGGCATGACTTTACTTCAGATCTTCTCAAAATCATCATTCAGGCAAACGTGTTCCCTCATATTACGTACTGCCTGTGCCTGTAAGGTGGGGTGACCAAGAGTCCAAAGAGAGAGACCAAACTACACAACAGTATAAAAAAGCCATCAGGTTTTCTGCAAGAATAATTACTGGCTCCCAAAGGCGCTATCATATGACTCCGTCTCTAAATTCCCTTGAATGGCCGGGGATCGAGGTCAGTGATGGCGATCCGCCGTGATGTCTCCGTGATCCGTTATACGTGACGTGATTTAAACGAGAAGGGCCCTGAAAGAGGTAAGCGCGTTTTACGAGGTTCGCGCTTTTTACCCCGCGGGCCGCTGTTTCGATCCGTAAAACGCGCGCCTCGGACAGAGGAAGTTTACACCGGCGCAGACGCCCGCTGACCGCTACAGAGATGGCGTTTTCGTATCGGGCCGCAGCCAGCTTGGACCGGCCGTCGCCGTGCGTCCGTCACGTCGCAGCACTGAGCGCGTTTAGGACCGCCATATGCGATGTCATTTTAACCGCTGGCAGCTGATCTGATCCGGCCCATAGTGCGCTGATAGGTCTGCTTTAACTCTTTGGCCATTGTTCCTATCATTTTATGGTATACCTTTTGTGTGTGTATTTCCATACTGCACCTGTATGACCTGGAACCATAGTAACCATCATATGAATGGTTTCTAGTATACTGATACAGACACTGACGCTGATAATCGCGGCCGGTAATATCTACCGGCGGTGTGCATGGTTAAAACCTTTAAACACACACATATATATACAAATATATATATATATATATATATATATATATATATATATATATATATGTGTGTGTATGTATGTACGGCAACAAAAGGGAAAGCACCGAATGAAGTGACGTTCTTGGGAAGCGCAAATCATACGTTCGTAGCTATTGCCAACGTCGTGTGCATTCCCTGTGTCCCGACGTGCAGTAGCCGTTCCCCGACTGTCATAGCTAGCGGCGTGTGTCCCGGCCGGCCTGGGCTGCGTGTCTTTCCTGCCGCTCCCGGTCCGCCTAGACAAGCCCACCTTCAGCCGCCGCCGGTCCGACGCTGCGGCCGCGCCTGCCTGTCGGCCCATGTGACAGCGATGATGTTGACGCGTCTCGCGTTCGGCTGTGCGTTGTAACCGGCAATGAGATTGATCGTTACGGGCGTCCAATGGCCATATATTTCAGTATCCTGAATTTCCAATTATCGTGACGTTAATAAATCAGGATTTTTGCATTGGAGATATTTCATTTGAAGGATCATTGAAAATTTCAAATCGGACGATGCATTTTACTGTAATGGGAAATCCTCTTAGTTGCGCCTGAATTTGACTACAAATGGTGACCTTTTCTGGTCATAACTTCGTGATAAAAGCCAGTTTAAGCAATGAAGATGGCTCTGATGGTTAACAATCAGGAAATTCACTCGTGAATTTTGAGTGATCTAGAGTTCTCCGTCATTTGAGCCTAATCTTGAGCTTTAAAGGTGGCGCTGGGAGGTGAGGAATTTTTGACGGACGCTGGGGCATGCGCAGTAGACGGTTCGGATGCGTAAAAATCCGAAATCTGCAGGTAAATTTGGGTTAACATGGAGATCCTTCTCACCTGAGGTCGAGTTTGATTTCAGATGGTAGCATTAATAATTCGGGAATTTTGACAGTCGCTGGCTGGTGGCTGGTAGAAGCACTGGTCAATATTGTAATGCCTGAAAATCCGACATTGGCCGTTTAGTTTCGGGTGATATCGAGTTCACTCAGTGCGAACAGCCGCAAAGGGCGCATAATTTCATCGTCCTCTGCTATGCCCGCTCCCTCCCCCCATTTCGTCGCCCCCGGATCCGGACCAAAAATAATGAAACAGGAGTCAAGAGACGTCTCTGAATTACTTACTATCTCACAACTCCGAAGCTCCAGCCTAGCATCGTACCGTACATCACAAAGGATCACATCACCTTAGCAAGAAGAAGGTTGGAAGTTCCATGGAACATTCTCGGTCTTTTAAAGCGTATGATGTCCCAGCTACCATTTTGTTCCAGATTGTTGCACCTGGAGTGCTCACACATTTGGCGCCTCACAAGGCAGTGGTATGGCCACGGACTTCACAGTTCTTGAGGCAGGTGATGCTTCGAGGAGAAAGTGCTGACTTTGAAACTTCAAAACTTCGTAACGAGGAATGAATTATGCAGCATCACAGCCGCTGTGCTGCAAGTTTTCCTACTGAGAAGAAGACAAGCAAAACGTGTTGTCTGTATTTTTACAAAGTGCCTCAACTGAGTTACAGGACGCACCATTGTGGGACCAGTTCTACATCAC